ACACCTGAACATCAGCAGGAGAGGACTCTTTAAAGTAGAGACACTGCATACTGATATACACCTGAACATCAGCAGGAGAGGACTCTTTAAAGTAGAGACACTACATACTGATATACACCTGAACATCAGCAGGAGAGGACTCTTTAAAGTAGAGACACTACATGCTGATATACACCTGAACATCAGCAGGAGAGGACTCTTTAAAGTAGAGACACTACATACTGATATACACCTGAACATCAGCAGGAGAGGACTCTTTAAAGTAGAGACACTACATACTGATATACACCTGAACATCAGCAGGAGAGGACTCTTTAAAGTAGAGACACTACATACTGATATACACCTGAACATCAGCAGGAGAGGACTCTTTAAAGTAGAGAGACTACATACTGATATACACCTGAACATCAGCAGGAGAGGACTCTTTAAAGTAGAAACACTACATACTGATATGAACCTGTAAATGAGCATGATATGGCCCCTTTAATGTATAACTTTTGAAGTAATAAACAATGCTATAGAACTCTGTACAGCATAGTACTTATACAGGGCCGTCCCTCCCTACAGTCCGATCATGCAGACTGCGTGGGGCCTCACTCTTGCAGAGGGGGCCTCAACTGAGCCGAAAATGTGGCGCAGTTATGCGGCACAATTAGTGTGGCGCGGCACGGTCTCGCTGCTGCGAGGCCCCCCCGTCGACACTCGCGAAACAGAGGGCCTCATCATACAATTTGCGTGGGGCCTCATGTTGGCCAGGGACGGCCCTGTGCTTATATTACGTTCCACTGAGAAATACTATTAAAAAAAAATAGAAACATTGAACCTCACTTACTGATGCAACAGAATCATAGTCCGATTGCTGCAATTATTACAAACACAATCTAACACTTAATTAGATCTAAATTCAGTGGTTTGTAACTAAATGTGTGCCTTTTTGTGTTTGAGTGGATACATGTCCCAGTAGAGACACTGAATACTGATATGAACCTGGAAAGGAGCATAATACGACCTCTTTAAAATACTTTTTAATCACATTGGATTTGAGTTACACTAACAACGCAAGTGGAAGAACACGAACAATGAAAACACACATTGAAAATGCTAAAGACAATTTATTAGTAGACACTCATCAGCCAGAAATAATAACCTCCTGTAGAATGTCTTCCTGAAATACACCATTTGATTGGCAGTGTAAAATAAGGCAAAGGGCTTAAGATCATATTTTATACACTTTTGCACCGACAATTAACAGTTATACATTCACTTGTTACTGTAATTACGCTTTTGATAAATCTGTCCATACACCCACATACCAAGAAAACTTTATTAGCAGGGGCGGGGCGGGGGGGGCGGAGTATTTGCAAGAGTAATACTCGTCTTAATGCAGTAGCTTTTTGCTTTTGGCTATACCTAGCTACATAGAATCTGACCACAAACTAAACAAGGATTAGATTTTGGAATTGCAAAAGCCAACACAGTATACTGACAAAAGTTCATACAATTACCATCACCGTGAAAGGGTACTACCACCAAAATTGTTAAAGATTGATTATAGTGTGTATAGGGTAGTATTTTGTTACATAAAACACATTTCCAGTGAGCTGCAAAGCGTATAGCTACTATAGAGGAGACTAGCCATAGGTCGTTCCCAGCGTCACAATTAATAACGTTTGCATCGTGCCCTCTTAAAAAATATCCTGCTACTCACTTTGGTTGTTGCCGGGCTTCACACTTTAACTTGATTTAAGTTATTAAATGTATTTTCAATGTATTTCACTGTATTTACTCCAATATATTAATTTGCATGTTTTATTTGTGTATCATTTCCATCATATGTGGCCACTCTTTCATCACACTCACTGTACAGTAAGCTTACACCAAGATTTAAACTCAGATCTTTGGGGGACAAACCTCGCCTTTCAGTCAATATAATCTTGGATGTTTACAGTACGTGATCATGTGCTGGATTGTCCTTTTTTTAAACCTCATTAAACCTTATTGTATCCAAGACATCTGAGTCTTAGAAAAAGTGTTATGAGAGCCCTAATTTAAAACAGTTTGAGTGCTCTCTGCGCTGATTTCACTTGTGCACATCGTCAGGTGATCTGACCTGCATGAAGGAATAATTCATGAAATAAAGATTCTACTTTTCGTGCCAGCTGGGAGGTGTGTTGGGAATTTACCTTAGCAGTGTAGCGTGTTACACACACACACAAAATACTATACCTTCAAATTGTGTCTTTTAGCAGTTGTGTATACAAGTATCCAAAAGACATAGGAAGCAAATTGTAAAACATACACATACACTAACACACTCACTCACGCACGCACGCACGCACGCACGCACGCACGCACTCACGCACGCACGCACACACACACACACACACACACACACACACACACACACACACACACACACACACACACACACACACACACACACACACACACACACACACACACACACAGGAGTTGCTATGTGTAAAAATGTCATGGTGGTGGAATGCAGCTCATCTGTACAGGGTCTATTTTCATATTGAGAAGAACAGATCAGGGGTAATAATTACAGAGCTAATTTCCAAAAATGCATATATCCATTATCATTTCAAAAGAAAAACTATTAATTAGTTACAACCAAAGCACAGAGGGGAATCAATTCTTCAATGCAGTCATTACGTTTCTTCAGAGTTAGCATGTGGTTTGTAGCTGGTGGATATTTCGTTTTGGAAAGAAACTCCTCTGGCACACAACAACTCTACACTGGTATTACTGAAAGAACAACAAATGACATCAAAAAGGAAATAAATGTACTACCTTCACCATAACCACGGAATATATACTGTATATTTTAGAAATACATATAAAAATATAGAGTCATCTGAATGCCCATTATACAATTGTACACAGTAGTGTCAGAAAAAAGCCTATATGGTGGTGTAGAGTAGATGTGTTACATACAGAGGGTGGAGAGAGGCTGATGGTGTGAGAAGTGATAGCTGTTCAGGGCGTGTTTAGTTTGCACACACTCTTTAAAAATGTCCAAATCGTACATTTTAAACTGTCAGAAAGTTTGTTTTTGTGTTTTTTTGCTGTTGACTTTTACCCATTTGCTTGCCAACGCCATCAACATAATCTAGTAACTGATTGATTACCAAGTCTGTAACACTGATAGGCATTAGTAAATATTGGCAGCCCCACATAATACCCTGTAAATACCTGGATGTCCTGCATTAAACTACAACCACCCAAGTAAATACCTCTTAGTGAACCTACAGCACAGCACATGTATGTGTTAGACAAAAGCACAACGTTAGAAGTACAAAAATGCTACAGTAAGTGCACACAGCTTCGGAGTGGGCCACACTTGACAGATTTATACAATTTATAGTGTTTCATTTTCTTACAGTTTAGCATCAGTAAAACCATTCACATGAAATACCTGCATTAGTATTCATTGATACATAGAGGTATAGTTATGCCCAACATACTGTAAGTCAAAAAGAACATGATTACATGAGTCCAAATTGCAGGTTATTGCGTTGATTATTAGATGACCTCATCTGATTTCAAACTGGAACCGTGCCCACTATTGTTGTGAATTATTTACGGTTGTTCTCATACATTGTATGGAGTTACATCTGGAACAAATAATGATTTTTTCATAAACTTTACATTCAAGTTTTGTTGCTGGAAGCGAATCAAGTTTCTAAAGAAGTTTCTTTAAAAATGAATGAACATCTGAACAGAAAAGCTCAAATAATTATTGGTATCTTAAAGGTAGATAATAGGGGCTCATATAACATACTGTTTTGTATAAATCACTTCTGACTGAAGCAATGTGATAAAATCCTTAATGGAATTGCACCCAAGTGGAACCTCAAATCATAAAAAGCATTTGAAAATCCGATTTGACTTACAGGATATTAGGCATCATTTTAAAGCTTTTTAACAAGCATAACATTTATCAATTTAATATTCTACCTCACCATGTGCTAGAAAACAACTTCCTACAAGGGCAATTTAGGGTATTTGATAGTACAAGAACCTTTCATCTCATAGTCGTCCATGACAACGAAGAATCTTGTAGAAATGTTTACACAAAAGGCAGCTTCTTGAAAAATTCGGAGGAAGTTCAGTCTCTCTGATGCCTCCGCTTAGATCCATGTGAGCATGTGAATTATGGTTTCTATCATGGTAGCGATGAAGACGTGGAATGTAACTGTGATTCAAGAGTTGATAGGAGTTAGTTAATATAAATCTTTAAAAGGTTTAGTGTAGTTAAACATCAAATAGTCTGTGTAGTAGAAGTCATAGATCCGCTGTCTCTCCAACGTGCTGACCTGTGAAAAGTATTTCTCTGTGATCTGCGTAGAGGTCCTCTTATCGGCCGGGTTCCTATCTTTAAAATTTGGCAGCTTGACGTTGGGTGGCGCCCCGATCAATCGCAGGAGAAAGTTGGACTCTTCGTCCATGTTCTCGAACTTGCCGATGAAGTCGTAGTCTATGAGACACGGGTTGCACAGCTGGTTGGCTTGATCCCAGTGGATGTCCATTCCCACTGGCCGATGGACATCCAGAAGGTACTGCACAAACTCCTTGAACGTGACCCCGTTGCCCGTCTTCAGCGCTTCTAACGACGGGTTCACCCTGTACTTGGAGATGATGGGTTTCCCAAACATTGAGTGGTAGTAGTTGTTAGGGTTCTCAAACTTGTCCCGGTACGCCGACACCATTCTCTCCAAGGGTTCTCGGACAAAAATGACTTTGGTGTAAGTCTCCAGACGGTGCATGATTCCCTTTCGGTCGAAGGAGTTGAGTTCCTTGAGGTGGTGGCCGTCATGAACTGTGTCGTGTTTGATGCTCTGAGCATTGGGAGCCTTTCCCGCCAAAACCATCAGGGTCCTCTTCCAGTTGGAGCAGCCTGCCTTGGGCACCTGGCAGTACAACAACTTGTACTTGTCCTCCACGAAGAGGTTTCTCACGTGGTGGCCTGTGATGGTCTTGGAGATGCTGCTTTTGTACTTGGCGCACATCTCTTTCATCAGTTGCCGGCGCGCTTCCTGTATAGAGACAAGCTTTTTCCACTTATCAGGGGTGAAAGAGCCAGAAGCAGAAGGGGGGACGACTGAGGATGAGGACAAGGAAGCAGACAAGGAGGATGAGGAGGAAGAAGAAGAGGGCGAGGAATCGCTTTTACTGTTGTGATGGACAGGGGGACTTGTTTTCAGCAGTTTGCGGTGTCTTTTGGAGACATGCAGGGAGGAAATGTCCTGCTCCCGAGACACAGGGGTGGGCGTCCGTCTGCTCTGCTCTCTGGACCCGGGAGCAGCCGTCTGTTTACTCTTCTCAAAGTGAGGGAACTGCATCGGAGGGATCGGACTGGATATGATGACTTCTGTCGCCTGGTGGTCCTGGTAATTGTCAGATTTGCCTCTTTCTCTCTCTTGCGTCGAGAGAGTCTGTAAACAAATGAGCAAAACAGATTGTAGTAGACAGTAGAAGATATGTGTTTGCACCAATCACATGTTTACATATACCTGCACAAACATAGAGTTAATACTTTGTGCCTAATCAGGTTGTAAATCCAGCATTTTTGCCTGAAACAGCATGTATTCCCACATCCTGCCTGCAGTACTCACACAGGCCACTTGGTGGTGCTGTTTCACTACAGCTCAGGGTCTAACTTTGTTACATGCTAATGTCACACACTATCCAATGCCATCCATGAGCTATCCATAAACTGTGCTGTAACATGAAATAAATGTCGTATAAACACCTAATGAAGAATGTAAATTGGACTCATCTACTGCCTGATCACCATCAGATGATGCCTGAGGCCATTATGCATTCTGACATTTTATTTCAATTAAATGGTGTAATGGCATCATAAAGCCAATGGACTGGACGTATAATTTTAATTTTACAACAGCCAAGGTGATGGGACCATCATGAATCTTGGCTCATCCCCCCCCTGACTTAAATGGCCATATAGTTTCATCTGCAGGGACATCTGGAGTGGGGGAGTGGTCCCTCCCTGTCTGTTTAATGTGCAGCAGATTTCTCCACAGCAGATTCTGCAGGGTGTGCGCTGATGTAAGGCTCTCATTGGTGCTGAGTATCAGAGAGGAGAGGCGGCGAGGGTCAGCTGAGAGCAGAGAGAGTACGAGCGCTGCATGTCTGACACAGAAACCTACTTCACAGAGTCAAACATCTCCTGAACTTGTCTGTCCGACCCTGGGTGCTGTCATACATTAATAATGCTCTAATGCAGGTCAAGAAAAGTTACCCCCTGCAAAACTTGGAGCCTTAAAAATGTTTCTGCTTTTGCCGTTTTTGGTTTGTTCTTTCTTGCTTTCTTTTAAGGCATAAGGTTTTGGTGTTGTTTCATTTAGTTAATGTTAAGAATAAAGAATTTGTCTGCAAAATGCAAAGTTGTGCGTCTGCAAAGGAATGGATAGACTGTTATCCAGTTAACAACTAATGTTTACAAAGCTTAAATGTATAAGAAGTGGTTGACATACTTGCCAACCTTTAGACCTCAGAAATCGGGAGCATTTCAAAATGCAAAATTCGGGGGGG